ACAAATAGTAAGTTTATGATTTTTTTGACCATTTTGTTTGTGAATCTAGCATTTCTCTACCTTATTTATACATTGGCACACACGTCTTTAAATGCGCACACATTTTTTCGTCAGTGTATTCTTGAACGTGTATTTTTTAACAAATTCTTTCCAACTATAAGTTGTACTCCATGATCCATTTCATTTAGAATAAAGGTCAATTGAACATATATATTATTACCATAAGTAATATATATTTTAAGAGAGAATAATTATATCACACAAATTGTATACGTGACATGGTCCACAAATTGGTTTGTTTGAATAATTTTAAAAACATTATTCATTAACTATCTTGGTTTGCTTTGATGTCAAATTTTGAATAATTATATATATATATGTATATGTATGTATGTATATATATATATATATATACATACATACATACATACATATACACACACACACACACACACATACATACATACATACATACATACATACATACATACATATATATATATATATATATATATATATATATATATATATATATATCTGTGTGTGTGTGTGTGTATGTATATATAGAATTAAAATATAAAAATAGACCACAATATCTGAATAAAAAATACGTTTAATGTAATATTTTTTAATAATTTTTTTCTAATATATTTTAAGAATATTCAATGGTCAAACATACTATCTAGAAAACAAATCGTAGTATTAGAAACAATAGAGTTACTAATTCTAGAGATTAATTGCATGAAACGAACAAAAAACTACTCACTCCGTCCTGGAAAACTCTTCTTGTATTGACTTTTTTTGGTCAAATGGTGACACTCTTTGACCATAAATTAATCCTAATCTAAATAAATAAATGTTATAAAAATTTGATATATCAAAACTATATAATAAGATTATATTAAATTTATATTATAATTAAATACACTTTTCTCACAATTTGTAGTCAAAGAATGTCACTATTTTGCCTAAAAAGTCAAAATAGGAAGAGTTTTCAAGGGCAGGTGAAGTATTAATTTGGTCAATATATATGTTCTATCAATAAAAAATAAATTAAAATAATGCCAAATCACTATTCCGTACATTGACTTAAATTGAAACTCATTAAAATAATAAATAGGTGGCTGATGACTTGTTTAAAAAATGACAAATAGACCTGCCATTTGTCGAAATTCTCTTAGCAAAATAAAGGATTACCAAAATAGAAGCTCCATGTTTTTATCCCCAAAATAAAAGCTTGCACTTTGGTAATGTGGCATTGTATATGGACATTTCAAAATAGTTTTTGGTAATGTATATGGTCATGATTAGTACTGTAAATACATTTTAACTCCTATTTCAGGAATAAAAATATGGAACTCCTATTTTGGCATATTTTCAATAATCTAGTCATGATGGTGTAAAACCAACGTAGTGTTTATGTCACTAAAAGTGGAAGGGTTGTAGGTGGAAACACCTGTAACCCGATTTGTTATTTTATAATGTAGGGACCGATTACAAGTTACAAGCTGTGTGGATTGTTTATTACTTGTCTTCTTTATGAGGCTTTCACTCCTATCTATAATAGTAGACAATACAATGTTTATGACTACTGTTCATCTCAAGACATCGACACGGATAGTCTTCAAGCCGGGTAGTCTTCCAGCATTGCTGTGGATCAAAGTACAATCTTAGCGGTTTGACCACCCAACATCCACCCGGTCAGACTACCAGGGACGGTGAGGTCAAGCTTGGTTAGACTTTGGTTCCTCCCGGGCGCCTACGAACCCACTGGGTGGTACCAGTGGGTTATACCCATCAAGGAGTCCTCTGATTCCCGACTTTGTGGGCACCATCAAGGACGAGAATCAAATGTTTAAATACTTTTGAATTTTGAATTCCCCGAGTATGGTAGGCGGGAATATTTTACGAAAATCCGGTTCGCCACCGCTCAATTGTCGCGTCGTTTCCTCTTCCCCAGAAGCCATCATTGCCAATTATAATTTCGTTCGTGGTGTCATTTTTTATTGGTCCTCCTAGGCGGCATGCTCCCTATATAAATCGAGGTTCCCCCGTATTTGTCACTTGCATTTTGCTTCTTAAAAAACTGCTCGGTTGAATCAGCATTTAACCGAGTCCTCCGAGTCCTTTGAGTCCCAAGTAAGTCCCTTCTTCTTTCCCCTTTTCACCTTTACCTCCCACTATGTCTGAGAACGAGGATAGCCAGAATGTCTCTGACCATTCTTATGGTTCTAGATCCCGGTCTTAGGCCTCTGGTTCCCAGTCTTCTTTTTCCAGCTCTGAGTCAAGCGAGTGCCCGGCTTCCCCTAAACAGGTGAAGCTGGTTGATTCTTCCACTTCCGCCCATATCTCTTCTGCGGCCCAGACGGTCACTGTAGCCCGGATTATTGAAGAGGGCTATGTCTGGCTGGATGACCAGCTACTTGAGGAGCTCCCCTCTTCTATGCAAAAAACCCAGGTTCACGAGCTCCGTAAGCTCTTACTAGAGGGTTACAAATTGACTTATAGGGTTACCTGGAGAAATATTATGTCTTTGCACACCGATTCAACCCTAGAGGTCCATTACCATTCCATCAAGGACCTAGGTGAATTCTCCCTTCATCCCTTCAAAGTTCATTTCTTCGAGTCTTACGACATTATGCCCATTCAGTTGGCCCCCAACGGCCATCGTGTCTAAGTAGTTTCATCAATGTCTGTCGTTTTCTTTGCATTCCCCTTTCTCTCCGTCTTTTGAACCACATGTTTGATGTCCGGCCCGGATCCAAGGAGACCCTTGGATTCGTCGTAGTGTCCTCCAATCAGTGCTGGGCTTTCCTTACCGGTCTCCCCCTTCAAACAAGGGGTGGAAAGGAAAATATGTTTCCATTACCTTCCCTCCCGACGAGTTCCCCTTCGCCAGGAATGTCTGGGGGGAAATCTCAAAATCCAAGTCAAACTTGGCCCCTTCGATGATCTGGCCGGTTGGGAAGCCTCACTTCGAGTTGGGGACACTTCCACCTACGGTCCCATTAATGTGGGGAAGTGGAGTGTCAACCTGGGGCCAACGTCTAATCATAAGGCCATAATCGTCTCGGAAGATCCCTCTTAGTCACGCCCCAGCCTCTACCGGCAATCTCCTTGCCGGGTAAAAAAGGAAAAAGGTCCATTTTCTTTTCCTTCTGTATATTTTCGCCCGGTTTGAGTCTTTTCCAAATTACTAACCGTGTTTTTTTTGTACAGTGGTGAAGTGTTGGGAAAAATATTATAGATTTTGATGATGATGTATTTAGAATGTATTAGGGACTTTAAGCCTCCTCCAATATTCAATGTAATTTTTCTTTTTAGAAATATTGTCAAAACCGAGCACTTGAGATTTCCAATAAAACTGTGATATTTCTTTAAGCGTTTTGATGCCTGAAGACTTAATCAAATTCAATGATATGAAAATTGGATATCTTGATCGGAAATGTCAGAGACAAGTAAGGATTTCTCAAAGCAGACGAAAATCCTCCGATCCGGAAGACTACATAAGAACCGGATGTCTCGCTATAACCCGCTGAAGGCTAAGTCATCCAAATCGGAAGACTAGCGCAGATCTCTTTCTCACCTGGAAGTCTGAAAATGACTCCTCCGGATTTGTCAGCTAAGAATCGGAAGACTCACTGAAGACCGGAATTCTCAGAAAGCGGGCAAGTGAGAAAAGACTTAGAAAGTTATCTAAGTCCTAAATGAAGAAATTCTACCCGTTGGCAAGGAAAAATCAATCTCTTGATTTTCAACGGCTAGATTGAAGATAATTATGCTGATTCAAGAACAAATTACTCGAAGACAATGTCTGGGCCTCTAAAATTAAAGAACCTGCCCAGAATTCCTAAACAAGCACTAGAAGACAAACAGAGTAAAGTGCTACAGTCTTGAATTCTTGAACAACGGCTAGAAGACGGATTCTGTGGAAAAAGGAATCCTTTCTAAACAATTGGGTACGTCCAAACACCCACTTCAACGAAGAATCTTCAAATCACAATCTTCATTCAAAATTGAAGCCAGCTATAAATAACATCCTTGGAAGACTGAAGAGAGGACGATGAGATACGTTGATACAACAACACAACGAAGCAATCACTAAAGCTATCTCATTCACAGTTAGCCCAAAAAGCTTGATAAAGAGAATTTCTAAACTCCTTATCCAGAAGCAAACTCCTCCTCCTTCCAAAGAGCTATAGTGTAAACACTTGAAGGTTTCCTTGCCTCAAGTACCACACCACGTTGAAGGATACAACTTTTTGATCAAACTTCTTAATTAAAAAGGGGGTAGGCCAACTTTCTTACAAGTTGGTCTTGCAAGTTCTATTCGGATCTTGCAGTTGTTGAAGAAGCGTGACCTTCGAAGGAACAACAAAGCCAGCACGACTGCAGTAGCAAAATTGGTCTTGCAAAGATATACCATGCAGAAATTCACAAGTGTAATTGTTGGTTCATTATTCAACAACCAACTACATAGTGGATTTTGAGGACGTAGAAGGATTACCCCACCTTCGAACCTCGTTAAAGTTTGCGTGTCTCTCTCTTTTATCTTCACTCTTACTTGCAACTATATTAACCGTGAAAACTAACCCATCCATATTGATTACTGCTCACTCTACCCACCAAATTCCGCACACAATCTAAAGTTCACAAGAACTCTAGATTAAAACTTATTTTCACGTTTTCAAAAGAAACGAAAAAGATTTTAAATCTGTAACAAAGTCTATTCACCCCCCCCCCTCTAGACTTTGTATTTCACCACTTTGGGACCACCATGAAGTTCCACTCAAAGTTCCCTATCCCCACGGTCGTGGGGACCTCTGCTGGGCAAACTCAACCTGTCACTAAGTAGTCGGCCTAGTCGCATTAGGGGACTTCTATGTCCCTCCACTCCGGGGACCTTTTTGTTAACTTGGAAACCCTGGAGTTCGAGGGGATCCTTTATGAGGCCGGTCATACCTTTGAGACCAATCAGGGCTCCAAGCAGCTAGACGTGACTTGTCGGGAGGTCTTTGCAGAGGAGGGTTTGTAGAGGAAAAGGCGAAGGACGAAAGAAGCCAATCCTTCTGCCCAGTCCTCCGGCGCCGGCAAGGGCAAGGGCGAGCCCTAGGACATGGCCATGATGTCCCGGTCAAATGCTGAACTGTTCGATGCCTTCTATGCCGTTCTAAGCGAGGTAAACATTAATTCCACCTTTTCCTTTCAATTTTCTTCACCAAAAATCTTTTCTAAGAATTTTCTTATCTTTTTAAAGCAGGTCGGCCGAATCGGGTAGGAGTGGGCCACCCAGCTAGTCCAGTCCCAGTCAGACGAGACGCTCCGGATGAAGGCCATGATCGTCACTTCCCGGAAGGACACAGAAGCAGGCTGGCTGGCGGCTGAGAAGATGAAGGGGATGTTGGTTGAACAGGCCAAAGCCTACCAGGGCATGTTTGCCAAGCACGAGGGTCTTCTCAAGGAGTCGGACAAGCAGGCTCGGTCAAAGATTACCGAGTTATAGGAGAAGGCCGGGCGGACGAGCTAGCTCGAAGAGGAGGTTGCCTGGATAAGGGCTGAGCTAGAGCAGTAATGCTCTGACCGGGCTTTCCACGCAACTACTTAGGCTGCGCAGGAACCGGAGAAATTTGCTGCCCAAGCACTTCCTGATTGGGAGATCGGCATCCGGTTCTTCCAAGGCCTCTACAAACGCGAAGTGTCCTAGCACCTGATTGATGACATTGGGACCTTCTAGTTTGAAACCGGTCAGTACCAGGAGCACCACGTGTTGTACAATATCTTGAGCAGCCGGGTGCAAGACTTTGATCCCAAGGTCTTCTCTCTCCCCAAGCTCCACGACGAAGAGCCCCCCCCCCCTCGAGGGTTTTTAGTTTGAAATGGGTATATTTTAAATGTGAAACTCTATAAAACTTACCAGTCTTATAGAACTCTTTATTATTATTTGAATGAATGTCTATTTTCCCATGTGTGTTGAGTTTATTTTTATTTTTCAAACTTTGTGAATGTCGCCGAGTACATACTCCCTTTTTGTACTTTCTTCCTTTATTTTTGACCCGGCCATTAGCTTGTGGAATTCGAATGCCCAAACTCTTTGTTAGCATTGGTTTGCTAAGCCTCGCATTTTGATGTTAACAAATAATATAAGAGCTAAATGTTTGTTTAAGTGTTTCAGGTACAATAATCCATTAAGATTCGGTTCTCAAGAATAAAGTCGAAACACTAAACTTGCGTAGAATATAGGTAGAAACTGATGTAAGGATATGATTTTATATACCTATATTCACAAGCTCAAAAACACTTACAAAATATGTTTAAAATCATCCCATAAACATTTTCAAATATCAAAAGGTTTTAAACTCAAACCAAAAGGATTAAGGGAATTTTGGAAAAATCAGAACAGAGCAACGGTACCCTAAGCGGTACCTTATACTGTCCTTACGGTAGGGTATACCGCCAGCATGGTACCCATCTATCGTTAGGGGTCAAGTTCCGCTAGATCTGATCAAATTTTTTGAAGGTCATGGTACCTGCACACAATAGGCCATACCATGGTCACGGTACCCAGCTACCGTACGGTACCCCCCCCCCCACCGTGAAGGGTACCGTTTGACCGTTTGGTTATTGTTTTTGATTTGTGAATTTGAATTTAATCAACCCTATTCACTTCCCAACGGCTAATTGACATTTTCCACTATAAATACAAGCCCAATCCTTCATATTTGTTCAAGAAACAACTCTCCAAAAATCCTCTCTTTATATCTTAAGTGTGTTCATTCTTGTATTATTTATTTTCAATATTTTGGCTATTTCTAGAGCCTTAAATTCCTGATTTTTATACACACACTTTGAGCTTGTGTTTCTAGTTATATACTCTGATATTCATATGTTTATATTGTATTTCTGAGAGAGTATAATTTCCTTCTACACTGGCTAAGTTTTGTTCTTCATTTTTATATTCTAGCTGTTATGTAGAATCCTTGTTTGTGTTCTTCAAACACACTTTCTTACGGTCGAGAATAGCCGTTAAATTCTTACATTATAATGGTTAAGGATAACCGTATAAATCCTCGGGTAAAGGTTCAAAGATAGCCTTGGAAATCCTTGGGGGAATGGTTGAAGATAGTCGTTAAATCTTCATTGTAAACAGTTCGAGATAGCCGTTCTGAAATCTCGGTGTGAATCCTATTAGCAAGGGTTATTTGCCAAACTAGTGTGGTGCTTTGACGAAGTTCAAGAGACCGGGACTTAGTGGATTCGGAAATCCTTAAGGAGGAGCCTCAAGGTATTAGAGTAGGGGTTTCCCGAACCAGTATAAAATCGGTGTGCATTTTATTTACGCTTTTATTTTTGTGTTTTATATATTGCTTGCGCATTTGCCAACACCGTTTTTATCAAACTCCAAAAAGTTTCCAAGGCCTTATTCACCTTCCCCTCTAAGGCGTGGGCACAACGACTAACACCGACTAGAAATTGGCATCGGGGCGGTTTCGTAGTTGAAAGTGCTTTACCGCATCTACGAAAAAGATCTAGCTGTTGTGTCTCGTTTTTATATTTGAATTTCTAAACTCTCAAAATTTATTCTCCCTGATTTTTTAAGTTCAAATTTATTGAAAAATGGCCCAAATGAATTCCCAAAGCATCCACCGTCCTCTGTTTTTTAATGGCCAAAACTATTCTTATTGGAAAATGCGGATGAAATATTTTATTCAATCAATTGATTTTGGTTTATGGTTGAATGTACTTCAAGGGTCATTTGTGCCGAGAAATGGTGGTTTTGAAGGTTTGTCTTCGGAGGACAAGAGGAAGCTATCGACGAATGCAAAAGTAATTAACATTTTGCATCCTCTCTTGGTCCCGACGAATTCGCACGTGTTTGCTCATGCAAAACGGCTAAAGAGGTGTGGGATCTACTTCAAGCTACAAATGAAAGAGACAACTCAACAAAACAAACCATTCCAGCCCTTGGGAAATTCGGAATACGAATCCTTCAAGAAAGGGCCATGTGAGACAATCCAAGAAATGAACAAGAGGTTCAACGAGATTGTCAACAAATTGAGTAAGTTGGGTACAACGTATACTACTTTCGAGCTTAATTTGAAAATTCTATTTTCTTTACCTAAAGAATGACATAGTAATATCGTAGATTTATTACCTAAATGTGATAAGGCCGAAGCCGCCCACATTTGGTCTTCCTTATATTCTCACAAGCTTTTGTTGCAAAAGATCAAAGAGGAAGAAATGCTTGCAAACCTCAAACTTACTAACGCCTTCAAACTTTCTAAAGACTCATCAAGTGAAGAGTTGAGTGAGTCAAGTGATGAATCAAGTGACTCAAGCTCCTCGGAAGAGTCCAATGATGAAGAAGATGAAGAGAAGGCAATGAGAATGAAGTATACGAATTTTCTCAAATGGAAGAAGTATGAGAAGAGGAAAGAAACGTATTCAAAGTCAAAGAAAGAGCGGCATAAGTCAAGGTAAGTCTTTTTCTTGCTAATTGAGTCTTTGTTTGGCTTATTTTTAAGCGTGTTCAAAAATAAAACCTTATCACATATGTGCTTTTGTTTGTCTTAGCCTTGGCTTGCATGATTAAATAATTTTTCAAAATTCATTTTTATATCATGCCTTTTAGAAAATAATCCCCAAAAATCTCTGAAAATAAAGTTTTTAAAGTTGCATCATTTTAGGGGGAGTTTTTGTTGTAATTGCACCGTTTTGCCCAATGATCTCCAAACTATCATTTTTTATAAGAATTCATTTTGATAGGGACAAGGTTTTCAAGAAAAGTTTTTCAAAAAGTTATACATGCTTTTAAAAGTTTCAAAATGCCCTTTTTTATTTTGACAAAAGGAGAATAAGATGTATACTTCAAAGTGGTGCATATGCAGCTTGACTTGAGTGCATTCTTGTGTGATTATTTGAATCAAACCTTTAATTTTTAATAAACACAAAAAAAAATTCAAAGTGAGTATTTTCAATATGCTTATTCTTAGGGGGAGCTTGCTTGCTTCATTATTTTACTCTTGTCTAACTCACTTTGAAGAATATTGTTTGTCAACATCAAAAAGGGGGAGATTGTTAGCCTTGGTTTGCTAACCCTCATATTTTGATGTTAACAAACAATATAAGAGCTAAAAGTTTGTTTAAGTGTTTCAGGTACAACAAGAATCCATTAAGATTCGGTTCTCAAGAATAAAGTCGAAACACTTAACTGGTGTAGAATATAGGTAGAAACCGATGTAAGGATATGATTTTAAATATCTATATCCACAAGCTCAAAAACACTCACAAAATATGTTTAAAACCATCCAATAAACATTTTCCAATATACAAAAGGTTTTAAACTCAAACGAAAATGATTAAGGGAATTTCGGAAAAATCAGAACAGAGCCACGGTACCCCAAGCAGTACCCTATATCGTCCTTACGATAGGTGATAGGCGCGCCGTAGCACCTACAAATTAATTTATTATTTTCCTTAACTCTTAACCTCCTTTATGAATTAATATTGATTAAACATATAGATAGGGTAAGTAAGGGTCAATCCCACGAGAAAAGATACTTTTATTGCTATGAAAATTAGTTCACTTGTCACTTTTATTGAAAAAAACTAACTAAAGCCTAAAAACTAAAACTAAAGGATATGGGGGGGTCTGAATGATAATTCTAAAAAGATAAAATGCAAATAAATAAATATAAGGGTAGCAGATAAGAAATAGAACCACGACAACAAACTTAGAACTCAGAAGTAACACTCAGGGAGAAAACAAACACACAAAAACAAACAAACATTTAAACTTTATAAAAATGTAGACAATAATAATTAACTTAAACAGTTTTGAAAATACTTCTAGTTTTTAATAGAAAATAAAATGAACAAATATGATTCCTTAATTGATCATGTCATGAGCCTGAAACTAAACTGTTACTTAAACTCAGGGTTAGGCTGAAGAAGAGGTCCACCAATGGTTCTTCCCTATTTTCCCATTCATTGTAGCTCATGTTAAGACCAAGCCTAACTCTAAACCCTAGTACCCTTAGCAATCCAAAGACCAACCCTTAAGTTATTACTAAGAATAGTGCATTAAGATTTGTGGAAAACATCACCATAACAACTTTGCAGTAACACTATGGTTATTTAACAAAATCAGTTCGAGAACCTTGATTAGCAAAAACCTGTAACGCCCCAAAATATACCCTAAAATTTATTGAATTAAATATTCAATTAAACAAAATTTGTTTTGATTAAAATAAATTGTTGTTGGGCTTTGAGCTGAAATAAAATATATATTGATATCCAATAAACATAATTGGGATAAATCTCATAGAGATAAATCCAACATGTTGATTTATTGTGTGATCTTGATTGGGAACCTGAGTACAGACCCAAATTAAGCATAAATGAAGAAATTGTTTATAATGTGAACTTTGAAATGATTTATTGAAATAAATCATGGAAATAAATAATATGAATTAAATGTGAGAACCTTTTTGAATAAAGGTCAATTAAACCAAATTTGACTCTGTCAAAGTCAACCACCCAAAAATATGATGTCGGAAAAAGTATAACGAATAAATATAAAAATTATATCGTTGTGTAGAGTTTGACTGTCTGAATCCAACGGTTCAATCGGATTTCAAATTGGAGAAAGTTGGACCAAAAAGTGTACCCCAACTAGGACTAAAATTAGTCCTAATCAGAGGACACACCAAACGGTGCCCTGTTCAATTACGCCGATTCCAAAAATACGAATCAGCTCAATCAAGGAACTCCTGTGTCTTCTTCTTCTTCACTGGCTTATTTAAGGAGAGTCAATTCTCCCATTTCTCCACCAAAGTCTATAATTCTTCATCCTATTCTGTTGTTCTGAGAGAGGAGAATAAACTGGTGTTGACAGCTCTGTGAAAAGTCGCCGGAGCAGTGAAAAAGAGTCGCCGGAAATTTCGCCGGAAAATCTTCAAAACCTCCCCTATACTTTGAGGTAAGCCCTTAGATATATCTAATGACTAGAATGTTCATATAGATCGTTTCTACGTTCATAAATGGTCATTTGGTTGAGTTTTTGTGTTTGACATGCTTAAGAACCAATAATCATAAACCTTGAATTTGATGTTAAAAATATGTTTAAAAGATTTCAAAATGATCTATGAACCTTGGAGAACATTTCTATATAATTTAATTGAAGTTTGGTGATTAAAAACGATAATACTCGAAACTGACCAGAGGAAGAAGATGATGAACAGTAGCCGAAAATCGATTAGAACTTTGTTTCAGATGAGATGCTGGAAGTCAGAAAATCGATTATTTTATTAAAACAAATCGATTTTTATTATATAATCGATTATTTAGAATTATTAAATCGATTTTAGTTAAAAATCGATTATTTAGCATTATTAAATCGATTTTAGTTAAAAATCGATTATTTATAAACTATAAATCGATTTTAATTATTAATCGATTATTATTCGTTAGATAATCGATTTTTCCACAATTTATATATATATATATATATATATAT